AGCAACCTTTGGGCTCTATAAGGGATACTTTGCTCATGTTGTCTGAATGTTGGCTAAGAAATGGAAGGAATAAAAATTATGAAAAAAAATCATTTAAAATTTAAATGGATTTATCAGTGAAGAAAAGGGCAAAAGTTGGATCTTTAGGTCATCATTTATAGGTAATATGCTGGAACTCTAGCATCTACTAAGTAATATTTTAATGCTTGAATGTTATAAAATTAGAAATTGGTCTGCAGTTAATAGTAATTTTTAGTAGACATGAAAGGTTACTTTCATGAAAATAATCTTAACTATCTTAACAGGTATCGTGCCCTCCTCTCTTAACCAATTTGTCTTAGGACATATTTTTCTTTTAAAATGTAGTTCTTCAGAAAAACATACTATGTATTTATTTTGAGGATCAGTTTAAGAATAACTAACATTGAAATAGTGTGATCAATATATATTTTTGTGGCATATAAAAAACAAGGTTATTAAGGTTTTCATTTAATAATAGCATAACTTGTATATTACAGTAATATAGACTTTAAAATTTCACAACAATGGATTATTTTAATTAAAATGTTAGAAATGATCTAAAGCTCTATAAATGATCTCTTTGGTTACAGGAAATGCAGCCTACATAGTGATACCTTTAGGTTTTTTATTTTTTATATAAAAAAAATCACAATTGTGATAATTACTTGACATTCTCTGTGTCTACACCCAAAGTTAACTAAACGATTTTGATCTGTTTTCTCATATTTGTTAAAATGTAACAAACTTTTTTGTAAGCGCTTTTTTACCAACCAGTATAATTTGCACATATACTCAGAAAGCTTTAGACCAGGACTTGCTTTTAGTCTAGATTTTTCTTTAAGAAAAACCCTTTGTTAAGACAGACCAAACTGCTGAAATGAAATAGCTCAGAGAAAATGAAATTAGCAGGTAACCACTTAACAAATACTTGTGGTTTACTCTAAGGTCTGGGTATAGATCAGGTTCATAGAAAATGTCATGAATTTTCCATTAAGGCACAGGTGGTAAGAGTGCTTATTAAATGGCACAAGGCAGTCTTCATATTTTCATAATGAAACCCTACCAAGCTATGAAATGAGTACATTGCTATTTTGGTTCTTTAGTAGGAACAAAGCTTTCTGCTTGTTTTTTACAGTAAAATATTTTTATATTGCATCATAAGGATATATATTACTAAATGAAAAGGATCATATAAACCTACCTCTTGTCTGGAAGGATGCTGTTGAAGCGGTGGTATCATCTGTTTGTAATGCAGTCTAGTGAACAGCCAAGATGGAGCTGTGCGTCTATTGGTTGAACCACAATGCAGCTGACACTTTCCTGTACGTTCATTTGCAGTAAGTCCTGCCACCCTTAAGAGTAAATCATTCATAAACTTGAATAGGGCTGTCTGGGGTATCAGCTGTTCCCCCTTTGCTTGCCTCATTTTTTTTGTCCTTAAGCTAAATTCCTGCATAAGAATTTGTTAGTAACAAATTGGGAATTCCTTAGTGCTCATAAAATTTCAGATGCTTCAGTGAATATTTCAGTATCAGGGTTAGAAGATAATGTCGGGAGCGATAGTAACCTAGGAAACAAACAGTCTAGGTTTATCAGCTTCTATTTCCTCCAGGAAGTGTGCATAAAAAAATCTCATAAATGTTCTTTTCTTTCAATACTTGTGTTTTATATAAATCTTGCCCTCTGAAAGTGATTATTTCTATCTGGTGGCTTGATTTAGGAGAAATTCTGAGGGAAAAGAAATAAAGTTTTCAGCTCTACTAGTTGGGAGAAGGTTAGATTTGGTAGGCATACTACCTACATTAAAAAACAGTCTGAAATTTAAATGGTTAAGAGAATCTCCAGCTAGATTTTTGGAGATCGAGTGTTTTTATTTATGGTGTATTTAGATTTATGGTCCAAGCGTAGCAGAATCAAGGTTTTAAATTACAGAATGGTTACTGTAACAGCAGACTGGGTAAAACCTTGCTATGCAGACTTTCTGAAATTATAGATAAATCAACATATCTGTTTCAGGGGCTGTAAAAGGGGTACATGGAAATAGTGTTATTACCTTTATTCATTTATTTGGCTAGTATTTATTGAGTGTTTAGTATGCTTAGCATTGAGTAAAATGCTGGAGGACCCATGGTAAATAGAACTCTGTGGTACATGGTTGACCCATTGTGTAGTGTTTATCCTTAACATACTGTCATTTGTTTTTCATAGTTTGCCCAGTTAATTCTTTTTATAGTAGCATGGGGTAAATTCAGTATTTTACTAGAGTTAAACAGAACATTAAATGTGCATGTATGAATTTCTTTACTCTGACAAAGCCAGTTTCTGATGGAAAAATCTGTGTTAAATGCTAGTTAATGATTTTCTTTTAATTAAGGTATCATTGACATAGAATCTTATGAAGGTTTCACATGAGCAACATTGTGATTTCAATATTCACCCATATTATCAAGTCCCCCCCACCCCCACCCCATTGCAGTCACTATCCTTCAGACTAATATGATGCTGTAGAGTTAATTATTCTTTTACAAGAATCATTACAAGGTAGTGTCACAAGGTTTGTAACTGGATTTGAATCTATACTCTGGCACTTAACCACCTGCAGTTTTCTTATATGTAAAAGAGGACAGCAATACCTCCTAAATAGGGTGTTTGGGAGGGACTAAATGGGAAAATCATTTAGCATGGTGCTTGCCAAATATTAAATGTTGAGTAAATGTTACTATTGTTGTAAGTGTCCTGAGCATCTTGGATAAATGGGCCATGAAGGTAGTATTTCATAATTGAAATGATATGAAAGCACATCTGTAAGGTATTTTTTTTTAAATTAAGGTATCATCATCATCAATATACAATCGTACAAAGGTTTCACATGAGCAACATTCACCCATGATGGTTTCAGCATTCACCCATACTATCAAGTCCCTCCTGCCCCCAAACCACCCCATTGCAATCACTATCCTTTGGCATAGTAAGATGCTATAGAGTCATTACTTGTCTTCTCAGTGCTATACTGCCTTCCCCTATATAGTGGCTGCTAATTATAGTGCCCCTTAATCTCCTCTCCCTCCCTCCCCAGCCACCCTCTCCAACCCTTTCCCTTTGGTAACCACTAGTCCCTTCACCTATAAGGTATTCATTCTTATTGTTATTTTGGAAACATACTAGAATTTAATGTGCCATTAAGTTTTTGTCAAAATTGTGAGTTATTTATTTAATTAAAAGTGTCATTGATATACAATCTTATGTTGGTTTCAAATATACAACATAGTGATTCGACAGTTACCCGTATTATTAAATCCTCACCCCTCTAGTGTGGTTACTGTCTCTTAACTTATTAAGATGTTACAGAATCATTGACTATATTCTCTCTGCTGTACTGCCATCCCCATGACTAACATATTGTGATTGTGAATTACTGTGCCCCTTTATCCCCTTCCCCCACCCCATCTTTCCCCTTGGTAACCACTAGTTCATTCCTGATGTCTTTGAGTCTACTGCTGTTTTGCTCCTTCTGTTTTGTTCTAACAAAGTTATTTTTAAAGGAAAACTGCTTATGAAGTCTCATTTTAATCTCAAAACATATTCATTAAAGCCTTTTCACTAATCTCGAAGGAGTATTGTATCACCATCTAGAAGCTCTTCTTTTGGATCTGTGACAGTTGTTATATTTGACTTGCATTGTTCTAATACATTATTTTGTTTATTGTTTCTAGTTGGTGTCAGAGATTGACTCCTTTTATTAACCTATTCCTTGGGGACCAGCCACATGGGAACTTTATATAATATCTGATTGGATGTGTTTCTGGTAGAATGTGTACTTCTGAATGTTTTTCTAGTATTTGTGATGAATTTTTTAACTGTTCCTGCTTATGACTAATTGAATGCATTTGTGATTCAATGGTAGCATTAGGATTTAGCAACAAAATGATAGAAGTTCTGAAATAATCTTCTACACAGATTGTTCCATGTTTCATGCTAGCATCCATGTTTATGCAGTGGCAGTGGCTCTAATTCTTTCCCCTAATTTATCTCTAAAGTTTACTTTAAAATACTTACGGTATCCTTTTTATTTATTCCCACTAATTAATTTCCATATATTTAAATTGATAAGCAGAAATTGATGTAGTAGTTGATAACTTGTTAATCTCCTAGAAGTAGTCTACTTCTCTCTCTTTTTTTCTTTTTTAAACAAGCTCTGGCAGTTTTATTAAAGAAAAATTTTGATGATTTACTTTTCACCAGTCTGTTCTGGCATGCTTCTAATGATACCAGAATCAACTGGGTCAGCGATGGCCCGTGTGCATACTCTGGTATTTTCCACATGCTGTGCCAGTTCAACATTATGGCCACTGTAGTGATGGACACCAGTTTTGGCCCACATGGCATTGTACTCATGACTGGGCAGCTGTTGGTGAGGATGAACAATTTCGCTTTGCCTTGTCTGGTCATTTTCAGAATCTGCATGTATACCAACACGTACTTTGCACTTTCCATAATGAGCTGGAGCCTGGAATTGATCGACTGCAGTGATTTTTTTTTGTCTCTGCGCCCACCATCTTCCTGCCTTAGGTGGCGGGGGAGCGAGAAAGGAAGCTACTTACTTCTCATTTTAAATGTTAGAAAGGCTCTGTGGATTAGATTGAAATTTGTTTGTCCTTTTGTTTAAAAAGCCATGCTTCTAATTATGCAGGAAATCTCATCAGATTTAAGGGAAGAGTAGATAAAGGTACTTAGGTGTTTTAATGCTTTTGAACTGTTTATACTTTGTTCCTATCCTCAGTGAGAAAATTGATAGCTTATTATACAATCAAAGGTTTGGAGTTTTTTGCCAGAATTTTTCAGGATAGAATTCAGACTTTTGTAGGATAGATAGAAAACTGAGAATAGATATTTCACCAGAGTTAAAATAATCTTAGCTGCTTAAAAGTCATAATCAATCTGATATCAAAATATAATTGTTTTTTGAAACTTGTTTCCAGATCATAGCAATGGATCATCTAACTTGAAAGCCCTGTCAGGAAGCTCTGGATATAAATTTGGTGTTCTTGCTAAGATTGTGAATTACATGAAGGTGAGTACTTTTCTCAAACAATAAAACTCTAACTTTTTGGCAGAAGAAGGGATTGGGATTTACAGAAGTAAATTTGTGTGTACATATTAAAATTCATCAAATTATGTGCAATTTATTATATGCCTGTTATACCTCAGTGAAACTGTAAATCAAGCCCTGTACAGTCTATCAAATTAGCATCCAGAGAGTCACCTAAACCTATGTAATTTACATTAATTCAGGTACACAATTAAAACCCACCATTTCACTGTAAAATTGTGCCCAGGCAGTAGGTACACAGTATGCCGTTGTGGCTGTCTGTCTGTTGAGGGGGACTGACATTTAAATGTCATGTTTTTTGCTGCTTAGATAATACAGTCTTCACTCATCTAGATGACCCTTTGTTTATCTAGAAGAGTGATCTTAAAAGTTTTACTTGTGTCGTCTGAAGCAATTTTAAAAAATAGTGTACCTCTGCACATATTTAAATTGACAATACAATTTTCAGTAAAAGTTTAAATTAGTGACCAAGGATGGACTCTCTGGCATACTGTAATTCAGTAAAATACATTACTTTTAAATTTTTCTAATGAACTCTAAGCGCTATTATTAATTTAAAATACAAAAAAGCAAAGTTCAGTAGTTGGAAATTTTAATTATTCTCCCTTTGAATTTGTATGCCCATTCTGTTACTCCCACTGAATTTTTTTAAATTGAAGAATCATTGATATACAATCTTCTGTTGTTTCAAGTATACAGCATAGTGGTTCAACAGTTACCCATATTATTAAATCCTCACCCCAATTAGGAAGATATTACAGAATTATTTGCTGTATTCTCCATGCTGTGCTACTGTCCCCATGACCAGCTTACATTATGATTGAGATTTTTTGTGTCCTTTTATCCCCCTCACATTCTTCATCCCTGACCCACCCCAAACCCCTCCCCCATGGTAACTGCCAGTCACTGTTCAGTGCCTGTGAGTCTTCTTTATCCATTCATCTGTTGATGGACACTTTGGTTGCTTCCATATCTTGGCTATTGTAATAATGTGGCAGTGAACATATGGGTGCATGTGTCTTTTTGAATCAGGGATTGTTTTCTTTGGGAAAATTCCTAAAAGTGGCATTACTGGGTAATATGGAATTTCTATTTTTAGTTTTTTTGAGGAAACTCCGTACAGCCTTCTACAGTGGTTACACCAATTTACATTCTCACCAAAAGTGTGGGAGGGTTCCCTTTTGTCCTCATTCTTGTCAACTCTTATTTCTTTCAGATAGTATGCATTCTAACTGGTATGAGGCAATAATACCTCATTGTGGTTTTGATTTGCATTTCCCTGATGATTAGGGATGTGGAACGTCTTGTCATATGTTTCTTGGCCATCTGTTTCTCTTTGGAGAAATGTCTGTTCACATCCTCTGTCCATTTTTTAATCAAGTTATTTGTTTTTTGTTGTTGAGGCTTATGAGTTCTTTATGTATTTTGAATGTTAACCCCTTATTAGATAAATTATTTACGAATATATTCTCCCATACTATAGAATGCCTTTTTGTTCTGCTGATGGTGTCCTTTGCTGTACAGAATCTTTTTAGTTTGATATAGTCCCACTTTCTCATTTTTTATTTTATTTACCTTGCCTGAGGAGATGTATCTAGGAAAAATTACTCATGCTTATGCTCAAGAGATTTTTACCTATGTTTTCTTCTAAGAGTTCTATGGTTTTATGTTTTACATTTAGTTCTTTGATCCATTTCGAGTTTACTTTTGTGCATGGGGTTAGACAATAATCCAGTTCCATTCTCTTGCATGTACTGTCCAGTTTTTCCAGCACCAGTTTTTGAAGAGGCTGTCTTTTCTCCCTTGTATGGTTTCTTTATTGTATATTAATTGGCTGTATATGTGTGGGTTTATATCTGGGCTCTCTATGCTGTTCCATTGATCTGTGGGTCTGTTCTTGTGCCAGTACCAAATTGTCTTGATTACTGTGGCTTTGTAGTAGACCTTCAAGTCAGGGAGCGTAATCCCCCCAGCTTTGTTCTTCTTTTTCATGATGGCTTTGGCTATTCAGGGTGTTTTGTCATGTCATATGAACTTTAGGATTATTTGCTCTAGCTCAGTGAAAACTGCTGTTGGAATTTTGATAGGGATTGCATTGAATCTGTAAGTCACTTTAGGCAGGACAATATTAATTATTCCTATCCATGAGCAAGTGATACCTTTTCATTTTTATATGTGTCATCTTTAATTTCTGTCATGAGTATCATACAGTTTTTAGAGTACAGGTCTTTCACTTCCTTGGTTAGCTTTATTCCTAGGTATTTTATTCTTTTTGCTGTAATTGTGAATGGAGTTGTTTCCCTGATTTCTTTTTCTGCTAATTTGTTGTTAGTATAAGAATGTAAGAAATTTCTCTGTATTATTTTTGTATTGTGCAACTTTGCTTAATCCAGTATTCCAGTAGATTTTTTGGTGGTGTCTTTAGGGTTTTCCATATATATAGTGTGTCATCTGTAAATAGTGACCCTTAAACTTCTTCATTACCAATTTGGATGCCTTTTATCTCTATTTTGTCTGATTGCCATGGGTAGGGCCTCCACTTCTGTGTTGAATAAAAGTGATGGGAGTGGGCATCCTTGCCTTGTTCCTGCTTAGAGGAAAAGCTTTCAGCTTTTTGCCATTCAGTGTGGTGTTAGGTGTGGGTTTGTTGTATGTGGCCTTTCTTATGTTGAGGTGTGTACCCTCTATACCCATTTTACTGAGAGTTTTTATCATGAATGGATGTTCAATTTTGTCAAATGCTTTTTCAGCATCTGTTGAGGTGATCATGTGGTTTTTATTCTTTTTGTTAACATTTAACAAAAGGTTTGATTGATTTATGAATATTGTACCATCCTTGCATCCCTAGAATAAATCCCGTTTGGTTGTGATGTATGGTCTTTTTGATGTAGTTTTAAACTTGGTTTGCTAATGTTTTGTTGAGGATTTTTGCATCTATGTTCATCAGGAATATTGGTCTGTAATTTTCATTTTTGGGGTATCTTTGCCTGGTTTTGGTATTAGAATGATGCTGGCCCCATAGAATGAGCTTGGAAGTATTCCCTCCTCTTCTTCCTTTTGTAGTACTTTAAGAAGGATTGTTTATAGCTATTTAAATATTTGGTTAGAATTCAGCTATGATGTCATCTGGTCATAGACTTTTATTTTTTTGGGAGATTTTTGATTACCAGTTCAATTTCATTGCTGCTAATTGGTCTGTTCAGATTTTCTGTTTCTTCCTGTGTCAGTAGTGGAAGGTTGTATTTTTCTAGGAAGTTTTTCATTTCTTCTGGGTTGTCCAGTTTATTGGCATATAATTTTTCATAGTATTCTCTAATCTCTGTATTTCTGTGCTGTCCATTTTGATTATCCTTCCTTGTTTGTGATTTTATGTGTGCACATTCTCCTTTTTTTCTTGGTAAGTCTGACTAGGGGTTTGTCTATTTTGTTTATTTTCTCAGAGAACCAGCTCTTGGTTTTAGGGGTTTTTTTTTCTATTGTGTAATTCTTCTCTATTTTATTTATTTCTGCTCTGATCTTTATTATTCCCTTCTTCGACTAACTTTGGGTTTCATTTGTTCATCTTTTCCTAGTTTCTTTAATTGTGAGTTTAGACTGTTTATTTGGGATTGTTCTTGTTTTTTGAGGTAGGCCTATAAGGCTATATAGTTTCAGAATCACTTTTATGGTATCCCACAAACTTTGAAATGTTGAATTTTGTTTTCATTTGTCTCCATGTATTGCTTGATTTCTGTTTTAATTTTTTCACTGATCCACTGATTATTTAGAAGCATGTTGTTTAGCCTCCATATCTTGGTAGGCTTTTTGTTTTCTTTATGTAATTTATTTCCAGTTTCATACAATTTCAGTCATGTCAAATTTATTTTAGTTCTTTTTATGGCCTAGTATATGATCTATTCTGGAGAATGTTCCATTTGCATTCGAGAAAAACATGTATCCTGCTGCTTTTGGATGGAATGTTCTGTAGATGTCTGTTAAGTCCCTTTGATATAGTATGCTGTTCAGTGCCTTTCTGTCTGTTTGATCTATTGATGTGAATGGTGTGTTAAAGTCTCCTCAAATGAATATGTTATAATCTATTTTCCCCTTTAATTCTGTATTCTACATATGTAGGTGCTCTGATGTGGTGTGCATAGATATTTATAATGGTTATATCCTCTTGTTGGACTGACCCCTTTATCATTATGTAATGTCCTTCTGTGTCTCTCTTTACTTTCTTTGTTTTAAAATCAATTTTTTCTAATATAAGTACTGGTACTCCTGCCTTTTTTCTCCCTAATTTGCATGAAGTATCTTTTTCTATCCCTTCACTTTTTTTTTTTTTTTTGAGAGGGCATCTCTCGTATTTATTGATCAAATGGTTGTTAACAACAATAAAATTCTGTATAGGGGACTCAATGCACAATCATTAATCAACCCCAAGCCTAATTCTCAACAGTTTCCAATCTTCTGAAGCATAACAAACAAGTTCTTACATGGTGAACAGTACAAGGGCAGTCATCACAGAAACTTTCGGTTTTGATCACGCATTATGAACTATAAACAATCAGGTCAATTATGATTATTTGTTTGATTTTTATACTTGATTTATATGTGAATCCCACATTTCTCCCTTATTATTATTATTATTATTATTTTTAATAAAATGCTGAAGTGGTAGGTAGATGCAAGATAAAGGTAGAAAACATAGTTTAGTGCTGTAAGAGGGCAAATGTAGATGATCAGGTGTGTGCCTGTAGACTAAGTATTAATCCAAGCTAGACAAGGGCAACAAAACATCCACGGATGCAGGAGATTTCTCTCAAAACACCATCCCTTCACTTTTATTCTGTGATTGTCTTTGGGTTTGAAGAGAGTCTTTTGTAGGCAGCATATTGATGGTGTAAGATAAATTCTAACCAAAATAAGCAGGTGAGGAGAGGCCACAAAGGGCTAGGCAGTTTATTTGAGCACAGTCCCGG